TTCGAATCACTCATTTTCCCATTTACTTTTTATTACCGCAGATATTTTCTTTCAATATGTGTAACATTTTGGCTGGATAGTGATCAGGCCCACTATCAGAGGTATGAGATATTCTTTGATTAATGCCAAAAAGTACCGCAGATTCGTTTTGGATCGATTTCGTCTCGAAAATTTGGGCTACGCGTTGCTCCGATGTTTCGTTATCGCTATCCAGAACGAGCGAAGGGTCATTTGATTCAGCGGTTACAGACGAGGTCTTTTTCGTTTCGCTCGGACCAGAACAATCGCATTTTGGTCGTTACATTGACAAAGTATTGAAAATCGGTGACTGGCGTCCTTGTGATGACCATAGAGCCTTTTACTTAGTCGCCGTCCCCAACAGGTATCCCATCCCATACTTACAGTATCTTACTTCCTCCCTATCTGGCTCTACCATTTTAGTCGCATCGACCTGGTCCGTGCATCACCAAATTCTGGTGGCAGAGGCAGACATTCCTAATCCGCGGTAGTGAAACCTTTCAGCCTGTTGGCGTTCCTCCGCATGCCATTTGGACTCAGCAATACCTCGCAGATCTTTCAACGGTTCATGCATCAGATAACCCGCGGTTTGGATAATGAATACGTGCTCCTCGATGACATCCTGGTGGTGTTTCATTGCCCTGAATCAAATGATTTACGAAGCAGAGTTGAATGCCCTACACACCCTAGAAGCGATACCGGCTGAGATACAACAGCGATGAGCGGAGGAGGCGGTGATTATTGGCTGTTTAGGGAGGGAAAAGAATTTCGCCGAGCTGACGGAATTCATCCGAAACGGTGCCAAGGTCGCTAGCAGTCTCTTCGGACAACTCGCCAGCATGAGTAGGCGAGAAGAGAGGCACCATGCCAAGGAACAAACCTACAAGATCCCGAGAAGTTCTATAAACGCAAAAAACAATGCAACAATGGGGGAACGTGACATACCGAGATGCCCTATGTGTCGTTCGAATCACGAGTTATCCACGTGTGAAAAAATTGTGCAACTAGGAGTTCCGGACCGTTGGGAAGCAGTCAAGAGCCATGGTGCGTGCTTTATCTATTTGAAAGGCTCACATCGTGCGGTCGCTTGTCGGAGCTCTGGCAGATGTAGTCAAACGGGTTGTTAAGGAAGCCACCATATTTCCTTGTACTCTGTAAGAGAAACTCAGTTACCGGCACCCCAAAATCCCAGCGTATGTCTACTATCACAATCAGCGAAAAGCCAGGTGCGTATCGGGGTGACACCAATTAGCATATTAGCATCCAGTGGGGTGGTGAAGGCGATACCGTTGATTGACAATGGATCCAATATCACGTTGATCACCAAGCGCTTCGCCGTAAAAGACACCGTCTCAACCCGACCATCTTCCCTGACGATCAGCACAATGAACGGTACCAAGGCGACTTCTGCCGATCAAGAAAACGTGACGTTGGTTTCGCTAGATAATGGTGACCGTGTAGAGGTGACGGAAGCTTTCACCATCGCCGACGTGCTGATGCGAGCAGCGGAATCGATCGGAGCATTACCAACGCGCTAGCCGCGCCTGCGAGACTTGTGTTTCGAAGAAGCGGACTCTCCCGGAGGCGATTTCCTTATAGGATGTTGTTAGGGCAACTGATGCACCGTGGTTAAAATGAAAGGTTTTCTATTCTTCTTCTTTATTACTCTTTGTTTCCTGTCATTTCTACTATTTGCTGTTTGTAATTTTCTGTTTGTGTAAGCGTTCCAACATAACGTTCTCGACGTTCGACCCGGGACATACTGCTTGGTCAGCTTAGTTGAGTTTGGTGTACATTTTCGTTCGATTGTTTTCTGCATTCTGCTTGGGTGAGCATTATTTGTTTTATTATTATTATCATTATTATGTTTTTTCCTCTTTGTACAATTTTTTATACTGTGGTTTAGATACCGTATAAACGTTGTGGTCTACTGTCTGTATTCGTGTTTTCATTGCTCGTTCTCGTCAGTTTCGGTTACTTGGGATCGTTTATTGTTATCGGATTGAATACGTTTGTTCCAGTTCGGAATTTATCGTTGATAGCGTGTGCGAATTTGTTCATTCCAGTAGAGAAGTGATCGTTATTGCAAAGTTCAAGCCCATTCTTGCTAGATCACGGCGTTGGTATAAGTTAATACGTGTGTTGGACTTACGAGCTGAAGCAGACGCAACAGATGTGATGTGCCAGAAGCACACTGGGTCCTGGACCAGAGACTGAGCGGCAGGAAAGAACCATTTGCTGCTCGCAACATTTTCGGGTGGACGTTGTTTAGACCACCTCATGCGACAAACCTTAAACCGTTGTCAGTTAACTTTATCACTACCACCGCTGTCAACGATACGATCGAACAAGCTCTCCAAAGGATGTACGATAATGAGTTCGACGATTTGAGTGACCAGAAAGTGGGCCCTTCCATGGAAGACAACCAGGCGTTAGCAATAGTCGAAACGGGGACTCGATGCCAGCCCGACCGGTTCGAGGTGCCGTTAACATTGATCACGGGATACGACCGATTGCCGAACAACCACGGGATTGCCCTGAAAAGGTTAGAGCACCTTAAAAGACGACTGGTTCGGGACATAGAGCTCTGTCAACAATACGCCGCGGCAATGAAACGCAACGTGCAACTGGGATACATAGAACGATTGGACGTTTCACAACCACGCGGGAAAAGACTGTGGTACTTGCCACACCACCCGGTAACTAACCCTAGAAAGCCAGGGAAGATAAACGTGGTATCTGATTGCGCGGCCCGTTACGGCGGTCTCTCCCTTAACAGTTGTCTGTTGCAGGGACCGGACTAGACTACTTCCTTAATTGACGTGCTCGACCGATTCCGGCTGGAGGTAGTGGCAGTGGTAGCCGAGATACAGCAAATGTACCGGAGGCTCAACGCGACGCCCTGCGACTACTATGATGGCTTAAAGGTGACTTACAGAGCTCGGCAGTAGACCATCGCTTGACAGTTCATCCATTCTGAGTGGTTTCGTCGCCTTTCTGTGCAAACTACGCACTCCGACGGACGGACTCTCAGTATAGAAACAACTTCCCCGCTTCGGCGCCAGCTAGCGTTGTGAATAACTTCTACGTCGACGTCTTCCCGGGCGCATTTGATGACACAAGAGAAGCCTCGCAACACGTAGCGCAATTAATCAACCTACTGGAAAAGGGGCGTTCCGCCTAACGAAATTGTTGCCTAACTCAAGTTTAGTTTCAGACAACATTCCCGAAATTGATAGAGTGAGTGGGTTGCTCAACCTGATCACACAACCACTCCTTATCGAGCCGACCTTGAAGGTACGATTGAGCGCGGAGTCAGAGGAGTTAACCTTTCAACTAAAACTACCCGAGAGGAATTCCACCCGACGAGGGCTGTCATCGTCGGTATTCACTTTAAGTGACCCGCTCGGGTTTGTCGCGCCGTGGCCGTTGCCGAAAAGAGGCATGGCCGGAGCAGTCGAGCGACAAAGGGCGAACTGCACCTATTCTCCGACGCGTCTGAAACGGGATGGGGAGCAGTTGCCTACGTATGTTGCCAGCACGTAAACGGCGAGCGCAAGCCAGAATTAATTTCTGCGAAAGCCCCATTAAAATGCGTTTCGATACCCGCCTCGAACAGACCGCGGCTAGCGGTGCGTATAGCCAAGCAGTTGCGACAGTGCTTCCGTATATTGGAAGATCGCGTCACGTTCTGAATCAACTCTGCCATCGTAATACACTATGTGAACAACGTCAACACTAGGTTCAGCACCTTCGTTTCAATTGACTGACGGTAGTGCACGAAGAGACCAAGGTGCACCGATGGCGATACAAGAAATCTGCGAATAAGCCCGCCGACCACTGCTCCCGAGGCTTGAAATCATTGGACAAGCTACGCGATTGGCTCAGCGGCCGGACATTCCTGACCGCGGCGTCAAAGGACGAGAATGCAGTGATTGCACCCCGCGGCGCCCGTTGAGTTGATAGAAGCCAAAAGGGTAATCATGACGGTGGAATGCGACGTCACCTCCCCCCTGATAAGGAAACTGGAAAGCTTCTCGTCCTGGAGCAGAGTGATTCGTTCCGTCGCTTGGTGGATAAGGTTTAAACCGAGGATGATGATCATGACCGGATTTCGGCCTGACGACTCGCTGCATGTGGGACCCTTATCGACGGAAGACCTAATGAGAGCCGAGAGGAACTTCGCGAAATTAGTACAACAGCACCATTTTCCCTTCGAAACAATGACGTTGGAAGCGAATGCAGGGAAGAACCCAAAACGGACTGCAATCCAACGGAGCGCTTTGCGTGAACTGAACCCCATACTGGTCGAAGGGTTGCTCCGAGTGGGAGGGAGATTGGGCAATTCTTCCTTGGCATTCGACGCTAGACATCTGATCATTCTGCCAGCCGGTAGCCACGTCACCACCTTGCTTATACGCCACCTCCCCATAGAAAACGGGCACGTGGAAACTAATCATCCACTGAACGCCATTCGGAAGAGATTTTTGATAACAAGCGTTAGAACCACAATAAAGGGGATAATCGGGAGATGTATGTTCTATCGCCGTCAAAATGCGGTAACTGGAAGGCAAATAATGGCTCTTCTACCCAAAGTTCACGGTTCAAACGGATGGGTGGCCTTTCGCGGAGACAGAAGTGGATTATTTCGGCCCCTGTTATTGAAGTGCGGACGATCTGTGGTGAAGCGTTACGGGTGCCTGTTTACCTGCATGCAGTCTCACGCGCTGCATTTACAGATGGTACCCAGTGTGTCTACTGAATCGTTCCTGATGGCGCTTTAAAGGCTGATCAGCAGGCGCGGAGTCGCGGACAACATTTACTCCGTCAACGGTTCAAACTTCGTGGGTGCGTCTAGCGAGCTGCAAAGGTGGCTATCCCGAGTCGACCATGGTGAACTACATAAGCGACTGACCTCCCAAAATCCCCGTTGGCATTTCAACCCGCCGTACGCAAGCTATAGGGGCGGGGTTTGAGAGCGAATGATAAGGTCGGTGAGAAGGATACTATTGGCTGTGTGCAATCAACGATCCATGGACGCTGAGACACTGAGCACGGCCCTAATCGAGGTGGAGCGCATATTGAACAATGGGCCCTTGACACAAGTCACGAGTGAAGCCCCGAGTCTCACATTTACCCCAAACGAGTTGATTCTTTTGAGACCGAATCATGGGCTGGCGGTATCACGAACTATCATGAAATATTACTCGAGCGGTGGAAGCAAGCCACCTACCTAGCGGGAGTTTTCTGGAAGCGGTGGGTCCGAGAGTAGTTACCTACGCTACAGGCACGACAGAAATGGATACTCAGAGGAAGAAAATTTCGAGTTCGTGACAGTGCTACCGGCGGATGGACGATTGCGGCGAGATGAATGGCCCCTGGCGGTCGTCGAGGCATGCCTCCCGGATAAGGACGGTCTCGTACGCACGGTTAAAGTGAAAACGGCAGCCGGCGAAACCCTGCGAGATGTCCGCCGAATCTGCTACCTGGAAGGAGAGGAAGCGGAATCGACCGGGAACCCAAGCAGCTGAGTAATCCTCCAGGTTGGCGGGGGAGACACTGTGAATCATAGAAAACGGCTTGTG